GAGCTAACCAGGTGTCATCAAGCTGAAGTCAAAGTGACTGAAGGAGTTGATGATGGTGAAATGGAACAAGGTATAGATATTAAATCAGAGCAGGAGAAATACAAGATTTGAAGCCAATAATTGATTTTCTAAAAGCAAGTGTTTTGCGCCCTGCTTGGGGAAGGTGTCTAGCTTAAGCTGTATGACAAAGAACTATTGAAGATGGTATTCTTCTCCAGAGTTGGGAAACTGCAGATGGAAAAGTGACAACCTGGCAAACGGTTATACCGAGGAAGTTACGGGAAGTTGTGCTGCGTCAATCCCATGATAGTTTAACAGGAGGACATCTCGGAGTTAAGAAGACATTGAGTCACCTTCGACAGAGATTTTACTGGATAGGTATGAGGCAAGATGTGGAAGAATGGTGCTAAAAGGGGACCCAAGCATAAGAAACGTACTCCAATGAAGTTATATCAAGTTGGCACACCAATGGAAAGAGTAGCCTTTGACATTGCTGATCCTTTGCGTCAAACTCGTGCTGGAAACAAGTACATTTGTGTAGTGATGGATTATTTCACCAAGTGGCCTGAGGCATATGCAATACCAAATCAGGAAGCTACAACTGTAGCTTCAGTTATTAGTGATTTCTTCTTCAGATTTGGTATGCCATACGAACTGCATTCTGACCAAGGCCATAACTTCGAATCAGCTGTGTTCCATGAATGCTGCAAGTTGTTTGGCATCTGAAAGACCAGGACAATGCCACTTCACCCACAGTCTGATGGGATGGTAGAAAAGTACAACTGTACACTGGGACAGGAATTGGCAAAGTTTTGTAATAGCTGCCAAGATGACTGGGATGTCTTACTCCCTCCACTGTTGATGGCCTATAGAACAGCAGGGCATGAAGCCACTGGATACACTCCAGGACAGCTGATGTTTAGTCAGGGACTTCGGTTGCCAGTGGATCTGACAACAGAACGCCCAACTTATGAAGAGTTGCCTGAAAATGTACCAGAGTCCGTGAAAGTGTTATCTGAAAGGATGGATGACATTCACCATCAAGTGCATTCAAACTTGAAAGCGATTGCTGATTCGATGAAGTTATCTTATGATAAGAGATCTACTGAAGTTTGTTTTGTTCCAGGAGACAAGGTGTGGTTGTATAATCCCAGGAAGACCAAAGGGAAGTCTCCTAAGTTGTCATCTCCATGGGAAAGCCCATATGACATAGTGGGTTGTCTCTCAGACGTGACTTTCCCAATAAAATGTGGTCGGCGAGATAAACCAAAGGTAGTGAATGGCAACAGGCTTTTGTGTTATCGTGGTCCAGGACATTTCAGTTGGAACGAAGGGAACAACAGAACAAATAATGCTGCTGAAGATGTGTCACCTGAAAAAGCCACTGTCGAAGAAGAAATTCTACCCAGTTTAGAGAAGGGAAACAGTGAAGCCCTTCATGAAGTTACTACCACTGATGTGACTGTTACCGATAATGGGACATTTCCTGATGGAGCAGATGAACTCCACGTGAAGCAGAAGCTAACGAGATGGAGGCCAGTATGGAAGAAGATACATCCTGTAAAATTAGGAGACTTTGTTGTATTTTAATTTTGTGTTTGTAAATTCTGTACATTTAATCAAGTTATTGTTAATTATCTATTGGGTTAATGTAAGTGGCTATTGTTCGGGACGAATAATACTAAGGAAGGGGCAGTGTTACGACAGCGGAAGTCACGCGACGCTGGTAACACGTCATGAGTTTCTAGAAGGACGTGACTGTTCCTGGCAACTCTAGTGTTTGCCAGACGCCCTCTATTTTTGTATATAAGCCCAGCAAATAAAGTGGAGATATAATTGCAGATAGACAAATATAGTGACAGATAATTGAATCAAGTGAGCGGTAGTGACTGTAAGTAAAGTGCGTGAATCGTTGTGAATTATAGCACGTGTTTGATTTAAAGTGACTGTGGAAATTCTGTATATTGCAAAGTTGTATCGCTGAAGTTCCCCAGGAAGAATTTTTACGGGAAA